GCAGTGCAGCAGTTGTTTTTTTTTGTCAGTCAAAATTTTATCTGTTTGGGAAGAATAGGAAAAACAGGGCATTCATACAAAAAAGCCTTCATAGGTTACATAGGTTAAATATACCCAAATGTAATTTTGACCGTTGAAAAGTGCATAATTTAGAAGAAAATATTCACCAGTACTGTAAATTATTACAGAAAAAACTATTATTAAACTAAAATATAGTACATTCATCATTTACTGAAAGAAAAATGTTGCTTTTGACAGAGGAGTAACCCCTAAATAAATAGCACCAGAGGGTGATATGTAACTTGTACGTAACTGCCATTATAACATTATGTTACAAAGAAATAACATATCGTCAGTTACGTATATAATAAAAAAGAATATATCAAATAACTTGTTTGGTTAATGTTTTCACTCACGCTAGCTAAATAAATACTATTGTATTATGTAACGTAGTTGCCAAGACAACGGATAACGTTACAACAAAATAACAGACTTAACAACGTGATAGACACTTTTACTTGATTAACGTTCAAACATCAGCTATTATTCAATTAACATAAAAAATAAATAATACATCAAGTTAAAACTCACCCATTGTGCAGCTCTTCTAGACTTCTACCAGGAGTTGATTCAAAATTGAGCTCGCGCGAATAGAATGTGCGCGTCCGGTGTGCGATACCTGTGAGTTGTTCTAGACGTGGCGCTCTTCTCGTTTGCTTCTCGTTCGGTGTGCGACCCCCTTTAGATATTGTTCTAAGTCGTTTAGAACTCAAATAAATCTCTGACCCATCGTCTTCTTCCTCGTCTAATTTCTTTCGTTCTACATACGTCATCTGGTATAATTGAAACGATTGGCTATGAGCTACGTACAGGCGTATTTGATAGACAATCGTAGCACCCAATAAACGGCTCTGGGCATTCGTAAACCACGCCTCACATACGAGAAAATGAACATGTGGTTCCCCAGACAAGACCCAGACATGTCAATGAGACGTGGTCTGACGTTAGCCAGGCTAGTAGCCTACCTAATATGTACCCAAATTGAATCAAGATCGGAATAAAACCACAAGAATTAAATTGAAATTGTAAAACTTATAATAAAAGCAGTAGCCTATCCCAATTATTGCACCATGCTGTCACTAAACTTAAAGGGGGGGTGAAACACTCAGTTTCAGTCAATCTCATGTTAATCTTGAGTACCTATAGAGTAATATTGCATCCATCATATCTCCAAAAAGTATTTAGTTTTATTATATTTATAAAAGAAAGATAGGCTGTACCGAGTCTTTCCGGAAAAAGCCGAGCGGGTGGAGGCGTGCCGTGTGGGCGGAGCTAAATAATCACGCCGAATAAGTTACACGCCGATAGACACACACAGATATTTGAAGCAGTTCTACTCACCGCCTGCGGTTCCAATGCAAGACCGTTAACCTTTAGTGTTGGGACTGCTCCATCCTTGAGAACTAAACGATTAGCAAATCCGGCTTCGAACTGGGCCTTGTTTATAAAAAAAAATCATCCTCGAAATGCATGGAACAAACTAGAACACTTGCACAACTGTGTTGATGTTCTGGAAAAACAAACTCCATCCACTGGTCCCTTAACGCTTGATCCTTTGGGAATCTGTGCAGTGTTGTCTTGCCTTGGCAACCGAAAACACGCTTCTTTGGTGACATATTGCAGCGCAGCCGATGCACAGCGCTTTGATGGGCATAGGTTACGGCTATCGCTCTACAGCTACAGCGCGCCCTTCCGAGAGAAGTGCCCTTAGGACCGTTTAAGGAAATTCCGGCGCATCTGACGTTATACGCGCCCATACTCGAAAAAAACTTTCCGAAACTTGTGACAACCAGGAAGGAGTATTTTGAGAACAGAAATACTCAATCAAACGTACAACTTAATTTGTGAAACTTTGTCCATGTTTAGCATAGGAATCCAACTCTTTAACAGTGTAAAAAACTCACTATGCATGAAATAGCATTTCACCCCCCCTTTAATAAAATGATGTGTAGTTAGGCTACCAAATGTTTTGACAACCACAATAGCCTACACTTATTGTGATGCAAGTTTTTTTTTCACCTCCCCCTCCCCCTTTCCATAAATCTAAGCTAAACTCAAAAGTTGGCAGCTCTGCTTATAGAGTGCCGAAGTTAAAACGTCACTCTGTAGGCCAAAACGCGTAAGTGAGTTAGCATTTTAGCACTCCCGGTTCCCTCGCTCTAAAGTCTATGGGATTTTTGAATGGGTTTTTGCTAAATCGCCTGAAATAAGGTCTGTGGTGAACAAAGCCTCTAAATATTTTCACGTTTTGATCTATGACATAGAACACACAGTTATAACCTGCTTGTGGTTTTTAAACTTTATCGTCTGCTTGTGCTTTTTTAAAAACTTTATATAGGCTTCAAAATGTATAAATTTTGAATTAACTTGTAAAGATTATCTTGATAGACAAAACGTGTAAGGGTCACAACTCTTTGTTAAACACAGATCTTATTTTTTGCGATTTTCCAAAAGTCTATGGAAAATGCATAGCTTTTCGATCGAGGGAACCCATGCGCCGCTAGCTTCCGAGTTGTCCTACAAAGTGACGTCATCACTTCGGCACTCTTGTCTGCCAAAAAATGAAAAAAAAACAATAACAATAATACGGTAGTGGTACTTCTGGAAAGAATAACCTCTTAGAACGGCACGAACAGTTAGACTGAAAAACACTCACAAAATACACCTGAAATGACATAGCCTAGCAGCTACTAACTTAGCCTATTTTAAATTTGGCGCCGCATTTTTAGAACGCGAATGAAACTTCATGTCCGAGACGCTGCAAAGCTCCATATTTTATTTAAAGTAAGATAGATGTCTCATATCATGTAGAGATCGGATCGGGGACCGGATACATTGCCTGAATGGTTGTAGCCAAATGTAAACAAACACTCACGTATCTGATATTCCACAGTGGTTATTTATTATCAGCGTCGTCGATCCCACGCACACACGGGGCAGTTTGCCAAACACTCCAGTAACAACTGCGTTAGAAATAAAACAGGTAAAGAGCAACAGAAATAAAAGACAGGATTTACACGCATACATGCGATGATCACAGCTCGCGCTTCTCATACCGACTGGCCACTCATGAGTGAGGGTCGGGAGTGCGTTCCGCCTTAAAGGAACAGTACCTAAATATTCTGGTTACAGTGTGTTATAAAATATTCGGTATAAATAAATATAGTTATTTAGATAAGTTAAAGAATAGTCTATCTATCTAACCATAGTCTATTCAATAACCACCCGTCTGGTTTGTAATTTTTTGATTAATCAAAATTAATAGACTATTTAGAAAGAAGCTTGGAGAAAGATTTTTATGGTTTTTGAGATGTTGTCAAAGTAAAGACAAAGCAACAGTTCCTCAGTGATATGACCATGTAAAACTCCTGTTCTGTCCGAGCATAAGTTGTCCAATTTAGATGTCTCACAATCAAAATATAGAAGCTTTTGCAAGTTATTCAGAGGATCAAGACGACACAAAATCAGCTTAAACACAATTTCCATTTTATTACTTTTTTTTTTTAATTGTTTGTCAAATTACAAGGTATAACCACAGTATAAGAACCTAAATAACATGAAACCTTCTTAGCCTGTAAAACAAGTCACTGCTGAATTGCCACAGACACATTCACTTTTCCTGAGCAATTTCATCTTCTCTCAGTGATGTGTTTGTCTGAGTCCATATTACGAGAGTAATCACCTCTTAAAATTTACATCGAAAATATATCTGGTGCCATATTTGTCAAAAGAATAAGTTGTTACTACAACTGGGTCATTAGCAATGCTGAATACAATGTTAAAACCCTTGATTCAATGAAAACTAAATTAAATCTATTCATTATACCTAAATGAATCACAAGTTTTGTTAATGTTTATTCCTTACATTTTCACAATGTGCAGAGAGTGATTCAATCCAATAAAGTCTTCAATATGTTCTCAATGCATCACCTCTAAACAGCGAGACTAAAAACAAGTTGTTTGTGATATGAATGATATTTGATAGACTATTGTTGACATTGTTTCACACATGCCTCATGTTCAATGCAAATAATTAAACTCCACAAAGAAACAAAACACATCCCTTCATAAATGTTATGGCAACACTAGTTTTCTGAAATATAATTTTATCTGTATGAGATGACCATGCACTGCTTGAGCGATGACACTGACACGAGTATTTTCACATTGTTGCTTTACTGTTCAGTTCATCTTGTATACAGTAACACTCAGTGTTTACTGCGCATGTGCAACACAACAGAGGATCAATACGGGTGTCGGAAGACCAACACATGCAACAATTAAGCCCTATTCACACTGGATTTATTTACCTGGTGACCTCTAGTCATTTGTAATAATTGCGGAGGTTGTCTGCGATCTTAATCCCGTGCGAATCGGCCATGTCTGTAATTTGTAAAGTTAAAATTCCCCCGCAAATGACCTAATATATTTGGCCGAACACCGAGGTCCTGTGATAATATTAGTCCCGTGCGAATCGGCATCTCTGTGATTTGGCGGGGTTGTATATACATTTTTAAAGGTTTTTGTTTTATGTGCGCTTTTTTATCCATCTTTCGTGAAGAATGGAGGTTGTGTTGGAGTGTTTTGATAGTATGTCGCTATACACCATACAACTATACAATTTGCAGAAAGAGAAAGCTGAAAACAATCAGAAGAGCAAAAACAAAAAGAATGATTAAATGGAGATGAATGACATGTATAGCAGCATCCGGTAAGGAATATTGTTCTGTTTATGATATATTCCAAGCAATAGCCTATTAACGTCATATCCAGGAGATAAGTCAGTAAATTTGAGTAAAATCACAGGCTTCGCTTATCCCGTGCAAATGCGCCACACGAAATTCAGATGTGGGGGGTCATTTCTAAATCACACGAGGTCCCCAGATAATACTAATACAGTGCGAATAGAATGTAATAAAGAACCATTTTAACCTTCCTCCTAATTTTAGATTAAATTACTGTATTGAAGGTAAATCCATCTTTTGCTTATTTACAAGTTATGGATCTGAACTTTGCTCACTTCGGACAATGATTTTTCTTATGTCGCTGTAGATTAGATAAATGACTGAAACTCTTCCTACATGAAGAGCACTGGTGCGGCTTCTCTCCAGTATGAACTCTCTCATGAACTTTCAGGTTTCCTGACTGAGAGAAACTCTTTCCACAGTGTGAACACTTGTACAGTTTATCTCCAGTATGAATTCTCTGGTGTGATTTTAAGTTGCAGGATGAAGTGCAGGTCTTTCCACAGTCAGAGCACACATAAGGTCTCATACCAGTATGAATACGCTCATGCGCTTTTAAAGATCCAAGTTGTGAAAAACTCTTTCCACATACAGAACAAAAGTGAGGCTTCACAGCAGCATGAACTTTAAGGTGTTCTCTTAAGCCTGATTCAAAAACAAATGTTTTATCACACTGATCACAGCTGAATGATCTCACTCCAGAGTGACGGCGCAGATGCTCTTTGAGATTACCTTTCATACTGAAACTCTTTCCACACTGAGTGCATGTATAAGGCCTTTCTCCAGTGTGAATCATCATGTGTGTGTTCAGCTTTGATTTAGATACGAAACTCTTTCCACACTCAGAGCAGGTTAAAGATCCTTTGACTCCAGATTTTCCAGCTTGTTTCTGTGTGAAATTCTCTTCAGTCTTTGAAACGACTGCATTTCCATCTTCATTTTTGAAATAATGAGATTTTTGAAACTGATGCAGTTTGTCTTCATTCACGTCCATCAGGTCTAAAATAAACAAATTAAATTCCATTTAAAAAGGACAAATGAGAAACAAAGTGTGTTCATTTTGCACATATCCAGTTTACTACTGACTCTACTAGTATCTAGTTTTAGATGTTATTGTTATATGTCAGTTTTCATCTTAATGTTCCTTATCAGTCATTAAAGAGAATGAAGGAAAACACCAACCTATTTGTTCCTCTGTATCTTCATCTTTTATTCTGCAGGGTTCTTCCTTAATCTCCATCTTTACAATAGTATATCCGTAGTTTCTCCTGGAGTAATTCCTCCTGCTTGCTTCTTCTTCTCCTGTGGGAAGATTGGAATATTCCCCAGCATTTAAACTCTCATGAACGGCTGTGGGAGCTTCACTGACTGAAGGAGTGAATTGTGGTCGTTGTTGCTCATTTAGCAGATGATCATCACACTTACAATCACTCAAGATTATTCAGCTTTAGGTGAATTAAGGGTTTATTGCTGTAATCAGAAATCAATTGTGTGGGAATGTGTGCAAATGTGGGATAAATGTGCATACATGTGGGAATGTGTGCAACATAGAATAGGAATAGAATAGGAACAAAGAAATAGTTTGCCAGCATTCAGATGAGATTTACCTAAAACTAGTTATTTCTTTCACTAGAGTCAAGAGGCATTTATTTATCATTTGCATAGTTAACACTTAGGAGAACTGTGCATTAAAATGCTTGTGACGAGGCTCAGACATATAATGACAATGACAGAAACAGACACGGACAGAGCATTAAGTGACAGTGCAAATGACAGTGACAGTGCAAGTGACAGTGCAATCAAAATAGAAATAAGAGCAGCATGTATTCCAGTTTTAAATAAAGGATAGTTGGTTGTTAAGCAGTCTGATGGCTTGAAGATAAAAGCTGTTCTTCAATATGGTTGTCCGTGATCGGATGGATCGTAAGCGTCTGCCAGATGGCAGTGTAGCAAACAGGTGATGAGCAGGGTGAGTGCAGATCTTGATGATGCTGCGAGCCTTCCTCAAGCAGTGGGTTTGATAAATGTCCTGTAAGGATGAGAGTTTATGTCCAATGATGAGCTCTGTTGTTCTCACCACTCGCTGAAGAGCTTTGCGGTACAAAGAAGAGCAGTTGCTGTACCATACGGTGATGCAGCCGGTCAGAATACTCTCTATACTGCAGCGGTAGAAAATTTGACATGATGTTAGAGGAGATGCCAAACCTTTTTAGTCTCCGCAGGAAGTAGAGACGCTGATGGGCTGTTCTCACTATGGTCTCTGAGTGTAGGCTCCAGGAAAGATCCTCCGAGATATAAATACCAAGAAACTTGTAGCTCTTAACTGTCTCTACTATCTCTCCATTGATGTAAATAAGAACGTGACCCTCTCTCTGTGACTTCCTGTAGTCCACGATCATCTCCTTGGTCTTGCTGATATTTAAAATGGTAAATGGACTGCATTATATAGCGCTTTCACAGACCCAATGGCCACCAAAGCGCTTTACATATTGCCTCGCATTCACCCATTAATTTACTCATTCATACACCAACGGCGGTGTCAGCCATACAAGGCACCACCCAGCTCGTAGGGAGCAGCTGGGGTTAGGTGTCTTGCCCATGGACACCTCGACACTTGGTCAGGTGGAACCGGGGATTGAACCACCAACCTTCCGGTTTGTAGGCAACCTACATGAACCACTGAGCCACTGCCGCTGAGAGAGATTTAGAGAGAGATTGTTATCAGCACACCATGCTATGAGTGTATTAACCTAATCTCTGTATGATGTCTCATCGCCATTAGTGATGAGTCCTAGAATAGTAGTGTCGTCAGCAAATTTGAGGATGATGTTGGAGCGATGCTTAGCAGAGCAGTCATAAGTGAATAAGGAGTACAAGAGAGGAGAGTACACATCCCTGTGGGGCACCAGTCTTGAGTGTGAGTGAGGAAGATGTATGATTGCCAATTCTAACCACCTGAGGTCTGCCGGTCAGGAAATCTAAGACCCAGTTACATAAGTGTCTGTTAAGACCCAGATCTTTCAGTTTGGCTATAAGTTTGGTAGGGATGATGGTGTTAAATGCAGAGCTGTAATCAACGAACAGCATCCGCACATAGGTATCTCTTCCTTCCAAGTGTTCCAGGGCAGAGTGTATGGCCATTGCAATGGCGTCATCAGTGGATCTGTTAGGCCGATAAGCAAATTGGAATGGGTCCAGTGTAAGACAGAGAAGAGCAGATGTAAGATTTGACTAACCGTTCGAAGCACTTCATAATGACTGATGCCAGTGCTACAGGGCGGTAGTCATTCAGGCAAGAGGCAGTTGTTGTTTTTTGGGAACAGGGATGATGGTAGTTAGCTTGAAGCATGTGGGGATCACTGTTAATCTCAGGGAGGAGTTGAAGATTTTGGTGAAGACATCTGCTAACTGGACAGCACAGGCCCTCAGGACACATCCGTGTATGCCATCTGGACCTGGAGCTATCCGGCCGTTGACTCTCTTGAAGGCCTTACACACTTCGAGTGTGGTTAGAACCAAAGGGCAGGTGTCAGGGTCAGCAGGTATTTTCACAGCAGGGAATGTGTTGTCTCAAAGCGAACATAGAATGTATTAAGCTCATCCGGTAAGGAGGCAGACAAAGAAACACCACTGCTTTTCCTTCCTTTGTAGTCCGTGATATAGCGCAAACTGCTCAACATGTGTTGAGGGTCAGAGCCATGATAGTCTGACTCCACTCTGTCCCTAAATTCTCTTTTGGCTGATTTGATGGATCTCTGAAGGTCATACCTGGACTTCTTGTAAGCAGTTCGATCCCCAGAGTTGAAGGCAGCAGTTTGTGTTCTTAATTTGGCACGCACCTCACCGTTGACCCATGGTTTCTGGTTTGGAAATGATTTAACATTAATGGATGAGACAACATCCTCTGTGCATTTGTTAATGGAACATATCACAGAATCAGTGTATTCCTGTATGTTGTCTCCTGCTGCATCATGAAACATCTGCCAGTCTGTGGATTCAAAGCAGTCCTGCAGTGTGGAGATGGCATCCTCACTCCATTTGTGAACTCTTTTAAAAACGTTTTTTTTCTTGTTTGAGGCATTATCTGTAAACTGGTAACAGCAATATGCTAATGTGGTCACTTTTGCAGAATGCTGGATGAGGGAGGGGTTTATATCTGTCCTTTAGTGTTGAATAGCAGTGATCTAATGTCTGATCACCTCGTGTGGGGAAATTTATGTGCTGGTAAAATTTGGGAAGAACTTTCCTCATGTTCACCCTGTTAAAATCCCCAACAACGATGAAAGCAGAGTCAGGATGAGCAATTTCTAATCCGTTTATGGTGCTATACAGTTCGTCCAATGCTTTTATTTTGTCCAAGTGAGGCGGGATGTAAACAACTGTAAGAATGATTGAATTAAACTCCCACGGGAGGTAAAAGGTGCAAACTTTAATGGAGAGCAGTTCACTCTCAGGGGAGCAGTGTGCAGATAAAACGGTAACATCAGTGCCCCAACGAGTGTTAATCATAAAGCATACACCTCCACCTCTGCTCTTACCGGAGTTTAGCGATCTGTCATGACGAAAAACGGAGAATCCAGACGGTGTAATGGCCGTATCGGGTACTTCTGAGTGTAACCAAGTCTCACAGAAAAGGCAGAACACAACAGTTACGAATGTCCCGCTGGTGTGTGATTCTTGCATTAAGTTCGTCAAGTTTGTTTTCCAGAGACTGCATGTTGGCTAACAGGATGGTAGGGAGAGAATGATTAAAACTTATTTTTTCACGATCTGCATAGAATTCCAGCACGCTTGCCTTTCCTCCTTTTCCGACGGTAACATTGGGAACGCGTAAAAGCTGAAGCTGGAATACTGAGGCAGCCTTGTTTCCGAACCGAAGTTTAAATTTGCTCGGATGTCCAGTAGTGTTTGTCGATCATACTGGATGAGAGTCTGTACTGTCTGAGCAAAAGTATGTATAAGAAATAACACGAATAACACAAAATAACACGAAAAACAACAAGGTTTGCACAGAGCGCTCGTCAGCGACGCCATCATGTAGCATAACAGTCGTAGCTAACGACTGTAGCATAATTTACAGCTGCACTTTTAGAAAATTTTGGAATTTTTTATTTAGGCACACAGTCTATTATCTGTTTTTTGGCGTATGGATAGTTCAATTAAAACCTTGTCATCTTTGGCTTACTATTAATGTTGTTTAACGAGTTCGTTTGCCCATAAAATCTTTAAGATATTAGGTTAAACTTATTTGGCTTGCTGTCCACTGGAGAGGGGCTCGATGAAGCAGCTTCAACTCGAGCTCTAATATACCCCCCCAGTGGCTAAATGTAGGACCTGATAATTAAAAGGGCGAGGTACCTAAGATGAAGGTGGAGTTTGGGGAGATGGAGGGATACTGGAACAGCTGATGCTAGGGAGAGATAAGCGGCTGCTTATATACTCAGGCTGTTGATTGAAAGATTAGATTGGCTCACTCCTCCCTAACTTACGTTTAGGAACTTCATTTAACGAGTTTGTTTGCCCATAAAATCTTTAGGATATTAGGTTAAACTTATTTGGCTTGCTGACCACTGGAAAGGGGCTCGATGAAGCAGCTTCAACTCGAGCTCTGATATACCCCCCAAAAGTGTTGAATAAATATTTGGGACAGCAAGTTAGAATAACGTGATCAAATAATTAAGAACTTAGGAAATACAGGATGCCTAAGAGCTTAAAGTATGTTACCCCCCAAAAAGAGTGGAAATTGAAAGCTGTATGGAGCATGGATGGACGCTGCTACGGCAGTGATGTTTAA